AGAAGTACTTGTATAGCCGAACTAGCAGTGGTAGAGGAGGGATGAGTAGATGGCTATTGGCTGTTCTTGATTAACTTATTGCAATATTCTCATGAGAGCAGCATTGAGTCACTAGTGGAATGTAGAGTATGGTCTTGATTGTTGGAGCCAACAGGGTGCACACTATCACCTTCAGAAACATAAGACACCTGGTTAGCCCAAACAGGCTTAACAAACTTATCCGAACACTTTTTAGTAGTGTGCTTTGGTTGCCCACAATGGTTGCACTTCCTGCTGCCTCGACCTATACCACGACCTCCCCGTGAATCCTGACCACACCTTTCATTTTCACGACCACACCCTTTATTTTCACGACCACGGCCTCAGCATCACCTTACCCATGGAGGAGGTTAAAGTAGACCCATCACCAAGCTAGTAGCCGATGAAGAAGAAGATGTAGTTACCCATTGAAGGCGAGAGTATGCATTATTGAGAGAGGGAAGTTCACTACTAGCCAAGATCTGCCCCGAACAGCATGATATTCAGAATTAATGTCAGATAGGAGCTTTGCAACTCTTAACTTCCTCTCCTTGCTTTTTTAAGAAGTTCCATATCATTAGTTAGAAGTTGATAAATATTGAACTCTTCTCACATGCATCGAAGAGAATTATAATAACAATTAAAGCTTTTATCTCCTTGCTGTACAAGACATATACTCTCATAAAGTTGATAAATCTGAGAAATAGTTTTATCAAAGGAATACATTTCCTTTACAGCTTCCCACACTTCCTTAGCAGTATCATGAACATAACATCAACTCTCACACGGCGTTCCATACTATTTCATAACCATATCATAATGTGATAGTTCTCCTTAAGCCACTCATCATACCCATTTTCCGATTCTTTTGGGTCATCCTTAGTTAAAAATTTCACTTTACCTCTTGCGCTTAGAAAAACCTTTATGGATTGGACCCATTTAATCGTTCAAAGATTGCTGGAATTCCTATTATATCACTGAGTAGGAATTCCAGGTGTAGTTTCCTCGGCCATAAGAGCAAAACAATCTCAAATAAGCAATGTATGAAAGTATATGTCAATCACCTATAGGGAGAACAAAAAAACAGTTAGCATATACAATAAATTCTCAATCAACTATAGGGAGAACACGTATATGTTTAAAAGCTGATGCACAAAGCTCTTTCCACTATTACTCACTATGAAACCCCAAAAACTAGTCACTCACAACTTCTGCAACACACTTTGCAGCATTTCACATCTTGTTTCTCTCGGCTTTTCACATCCAAGAGAGGAACCTTTCGGTGGCACGAATATGCACAGCACACAGAGGCCACCATATTGGCCTCACAAACACAGAAATGAGTATTTCTTGACTAAATCGACACTAACAGAATTAGGATTTTCCTCTCTTTTTTTATTATAAAAAAGTAGCTATTCTTAAAGAAGAACGAAGAAGACCATAAGCAGATCGGCTCTCTGATACCATGTGAACAATACTGTGAATAGTGTCATGAGCCGTATCATCAAACACTCTCATGAACAGTACCATGAATAGTAAAAAGTGCCAAAACTAGAGAGAGGAAAAAGAAGAGGAAAAGAAGGCAAGAAGAAAAGATGAAACAGAAGAGAGGAGTGAGTGATACGAGATTCAGTCGCCCATGCCCCGCTAATATCTTTATTTATAATGTTTATTTAGGATTTATAAAGGATAAAAATACCCTCAATGAAAATAAATATCCTAAAATATTTAAAAATGACAGAAATACACCAATTCACAAACAACGCTATCTTTTAATAGATACCTCTGTGTTTCTAACCTGTCCATTGCATATGCCTGTTTTCCTTTTTTCTTATGCAGGTTTTGGTGATTAATTATGCTTGAGTGTCAGATATTTATTGTTTATACTCTTTTCTACAAGAAAATTTCAGTATTGTGTTGTAGCTAGACACATGGATCAGTCGTTTTTGTAATGTAGGTACTAGCTGTGCCAGCCATTTACTTCCTGCTCTATATATTTGTTGATTAAAGGGATGAAAGGGGTGGTCATAAACCAATTCCCTATTGTTAACTGGTTTGGCAGTTCGATACTATTGCTTAATTTGTTGTTCAGATACTCTTCTCTTGGAAGGTGAAAAGAAATATGTCAGTTCTTGTTCATGTTTAAGCATTCCATAATATAGGACCAGCTTATTTCCTCTGGTTGTTGGTCTTCATTTTACTTGAGTTCATGTTATAGTGTTTGTGGGTATTAAATGCGACAACATTATGGCATTAACTGTGGTCAGTGAATTGTGTTTTATTCTTCTGCATCTAGGAAATTTCTTTCATGTACAATTTGTTGCAGCTATGTCGGATCGACACCTTACTGTACCTCTTGGTCTATCCTCAGCGACCACTTCTGTCAACAAAAACAATTGAGCTGGTGATGAAGCTAGGAATTCATGCTTATGTAATGGTTTTTGTCATCATTATATAGTTGCTAAGACTCTTCAGTCACATTTGTTTTTCAGATCCACTATGACAAGCTTGGGGCAGGGCAAAATGCAACGGTTGCTGTGATGAGCTACAGTGGCTATGAAATTGACGATGCAATTGTCATGAATAAGGCTTCACTAGATCGTGGTTTTGGTTGTTGTATTGTGATGAAAGAGTATGCACTTACCAATTTAAGAATTATTGCATATATCAATATTTGAAGGTTCATCAATATCACCAATTGATTTTCAGAGGACGGAGTTAGCTCTTATTGATATTTACTATAGATACGAGCACTAGACCTGTGTCAAAATGTTTAATTTTTGAAATAGCTTATCATGAATATGTCATGCTTTCCAGTTTTATCTGTTGGTTCTGTAATCTGTATCATAACCATGGTATATGTAGCAAACGAGAAAGTTATTGTTCCCTCGGACAATGTTGCCATCGTATTAAGAAAGCTACTTATTTAGAAATGCTTCTGTGCATTCTTTGCAGATCCGTGGTTTTTAAATGTTTGGAAAAAAATGCTTGAGAGCACCCGACCTGTGACTTCTTGTTCTTGTATTTCTTCACCTAAAATATAAATGACTGTGATTCCCCGGAAACTGCTACTAATGTCATTTGTAGGCTGTGATCATGTTCTTGTGACCATGATCGTCCATACCTGCCGCTGCAAATTTGACATGTATTGGGATTTTCATTTCTCTGTGAAATCCAGCTTTACAATAATGCCAAGTCAGGAACGCAGATTGGAAATCGGAAGTGAAAATAGAAAGACATTATAAATTTTTTCATTGATGGTAGGTGAACAACCTGGCAAGCATGCACAGAAAAATGATTATGGTAATGCGTATGGTAGATGATGTCTATCTCATGGAAAACTATGGATCCCTGAAGGCTTGCACATGCCAAAGCTGGGAAAGTGCAGATTAATGCTGTCTTTTGCTATGGTTAGGACGAAGTTTAGAATGGTCTGTTTGACCTGTAGAACTAATTAAAATTACCTTTCTGATGTCTGTGTCAAAATTTGTCATTAGTGGCATAAGTAATTAAGTGCAGTATGTGATGTAGGATAGAATGTTAGAGTCTTAAGTATATGTTCAATGATCGTTTCATTGAACAGCTTATCTAGGTGTTTTTTATTTTCTTAACTTCTTTGTAGATTATCTTTTATAGGCTCCGATTTCCCCATCTTCAAATCCTCATGCTATCATGATACAAGATAATATTATCCCATTCATTATACTCGGTGACATATTTACCCTTGCCCTCAATGAAATCCCCCTGTTTCTTTGTTACTGAATTTCTATTGGCCAGTATTTCTACTTTTATGTTATGTGTACATTATTGTTGAAAGATAACTACAAATATGAGCTTCTCGTACAAAGAAAAGAAATACTTCCAAGCACAAAAACATTCATTTTGAGTAAGTGAAGTTACTGTGGTGTATTTCTTTTACAGAGAGAGATTATGGTGTATTGACTGTTTGTTGCAACTCTATAATTGTAACGGCTAATGCAACAATTTTGTGAAACAGAACTACTGTTCTTAGTCAAAAGTACAGCAATAAAACCTCTGACAGATCAGGCCTAGGATGCTACCAACAGGGAATGGTGATTTTGTTCCCGATCCTCGTTTTCAGGTATGTAATAGGCCTCTTCATGCTCACATATCAGTGCTTGATTAGGTTTGTGAGAATATGCTCTTGTATCCTTTTCATGATGATATTTGTGTTGATGTTTTCTCTGGGAAGCATTAGCGTGCATCAACATATTTTATTGAGAATATACATATGAGTAACATAGTTACAATATTGTGGCCGTGCTGGCTGGCTCTTCTTGAGAAGCACGGGCAAATGCTTGTTTGAAATATCATCCCAATCAAATTGCTTGAATTAGTTTACGTGGTCTATGCAATGCAGATATAGCAAAGAAAGTCCATGAAATGCAGCAAATCCATTTATTCATTTTATGGAATAGCATATTAACTTAGTTTGTAAAGTTATGACAGCTCAGAAAAAATTTAGAAATGCTGTCTAAGCTATGCTAGGAGATATTATTTGATTTTGTAGTATTATCAGAACAAGGTCTCTTTGATTGTCATGAGAACAAGTTCTCTTCAATGTACATAGTTCAGCAAAATATTACCCTACGAAGTACTTTAAGTTTGATCATATACGAAATGTATCTCTAATTTGATGAACCTGATCAATGTAGCTGGCCGAAACAATATGTTACGACAGACTTTTTAGGAGATTTAACATACTCATTGTTGTCCTAAATGGACTTGACATAATTTGTTGTTTAGAATCTTTGCTTCAGGAACTTCCAAAACCATCAATGATGCATCCTCTTTTTCCTTTTCTTTCTTACCTTATTTTAAACTTTTTGGTCGGTTCACAAGTTATATTAAATCAAAACTATCCCGAAATTCTTGCAATGATTGGGGCATCCCCTTAACAGATTGGCTGATAAAGCTAGAACAAGTTATTGCAGAAGCTAAAGCATTCAATTTGTAACCATAAATGCTTATGCATAATAGTCTAACTTGCTAGATGGCGCTAAGCAGTTTGGCATCCATGGGTCCTGAAGATGCCAAATGGCACTGAGTTTAAAATATGAGTTTGGAACCTCTTATTTCACGTTGTTTGCTATATGTGTTAAAACATTTCTTTTTGTCATATGCTGCATCTTATAGTACGATTCAAGCTTATGATAAATATGACCTTTAACCGTTGACTATGCTTTTTTATTGCCTGAAACATGATTTGGGAGCTGTCTAAGCAAGAGCAATTAAATGTACTGCCTGCTTCAGGAATTCACTTTGCTGTGCAAAAGTCATTTATTGGCAACTTTTGGTGGATTTCTAATAAGTCTTTATATCATTATATACGATGGATGAATCTTATATTTTGATATGTATGTGATCTATTCTTCTCTCCAGATTTGATCTTTATGGAGCAGAATTGCCTAGATTGACCTAGGCGCCTAGTGCTTGCTTAGGTATTATATCTAATGCTTCACAGTGATGTAGGACCACAAGTGACACCACACAAGTAGGCTTCAGGTTTCAGTGACTAGAGTTTATGAAATCAAGGTTACGGTTCAAAGGTTACACATATGTTTCATTTAAATGTTTAATATGGGCTGATGGATTTATGTCGATAGGGTCTTCATCAAAACTGATAGAGGACTGTTTGGATAGCTCCACATGAGTGAGTTGTAGTTTCAGTGATGAGGGCTTGGGAAAAACGAGGGTTAGAGTTGGGGTTATGCATGGGTTTGATGGAACTCTTGTTTAAGATGGGATGGATTTGATGTGGATAAGGTTTAGGGAAAACTAAGGTTGTAGGAGGGGATGGGTGTGGTTTGGTTACAGCTTATTGCGTATAGGGCTGTGGTTTGGGAGAAGATGGAAGAAGGGTGGCATGCATGAATTGCTAGGGCTTTGATTTGTGATGGCATGGGTAGATAGAGAGATGGATGAATGGTGTGGAGTATATTGTTGTTATTGAAAATTTCTAGGCCATAGTATGAATTGGCACCATACATTATGTGGTTGAGGAATCAGTATCACAATGGAAGATGGAATAGAAACCATCTCCAAGTGATTAAAACAAACTTTATTAAAATAATATTATAGCCATAGTTGTTGGGGATGGACAGGATCGGGAGTAGTTTCATGATTAGGGGCGGGATCGATAGATCAAGGCTACTCGAAAGATCCCTATTTTGGGAATCGATTTCCGTACAACCTCAAATTTAAGGAACACGATCCATGTGTATTAGGGATCGAGTTCCTCAATTAGATGAGACCTAGTTTTATAATATTGGGGAGCAAGATCCTCTGATTATGATCTAAAGTTTGTGTTGGGTTTTTGTGGCCATTTAAAGGCCTTATGAGAGCATGTACTGAAAATATATAGTGAATTATTGACTCCAGTGGGAGTGTGGTCCAGCTTGGACTGTAGGGCATTGATAATGCCTTAGACTCACATGAGTTTTGACTGGCTATGACTCAATGAAATAGCCAAGACCTCTCACTTGTATGCCATTAAAAGAAAATTACATTCATCATGTAGAACTGAAAATGACATAAGAAAGCAATAGAAGCAACATGAGCACGGAATATGAAACAACGTGTACCTTGTCTCTGTTGGTGGTATAAGACCAATGGACTAGTAATACAATCTTTTAAAAAAAATTCATTGTATTAAAACTCAGTTTAAAAGCATGAATATCTCAATACAAAATCATAATACATGTATTTCAACTTACAAACATGGTTTATACACATTTGAATAATAAAAATTCAACCCTAATAGGTCCTTTACAAATCCCTTAATAAAAAATACAACTAAACTCAATACAATATCCAAATACTTGCAATGTACATCTCTACAACATATTACATGACTTGTACTCGCGATTCCTCATTATATCAAAATTATATGATAATTCCATTTTCATCCTTCATCCTCATCGTATATCACAATGTCTTATATATATCATATACTTGATCATAATAATCCAATGAGATTTTAATTTACATAAGTAATAAATTAAAGCTTATACCACAAGATTAAAGAACAATCTGACTCAATTTAACCAATTATGGATCACTTAATAATTGTAAATGCATTAAATTAACATGCAAACATACATGAGGGAAGCCATGGTTCGAAACCCTTGTGACCGAGCTATGAAATGACCTTTTGAGGACTTAATTTTATCCCATTGCCTAAGGCACGAGTGATAATAATAACTCAATGAGATTAATCCAATGGGAAGCAAATTATCACTTTTATTTCACTTAATAGGGATCAAATCATGATAGAGACATGTATCAAAACAGCCCTTCAAAGTTTGAGAGAGATACTACACAAAATAAGGAAGTTATGGTGAAATTACACCATGTGGTCCATAAGGGACTACACGAACTTTTCAACATTCAAAAAAGAACTCAAGGGATTATTTCATATTTTCAAATATGATGAAATAAACATCTCATCAGTTGTATATTCTCAGTAAAATTTCAAAAAAATAAGATCGAGAAAATCAAGTGAAACTACTCAAGATCATGGAGTAAGCAAGCTAGTCTACACATACCATGTGTATGGACTACACTATTGCTTTGGGACTCTTCAAATATCAAGTTTTCATGACCAAAAATGAAGAAAGTTACTGTAAATTAAGAATTACATCAAGCTTTGATAATGAAAATAAGATAGGAATTAAAATATAAAAAGAAAAATCAATACCTTAGTGAAGCAATACTATGGGTTTGATCACACAAATGAGGGACTACTCCATGGAAGGGTTTCAAATGAAAGCTCAAGGAAGAAGATAGCCTCATGGGTGACCACTTTTTTATCAAGGGGGCTGGGGCTCTCTCTCTCTCTTTGAAGTGAATACACAAGTTAGGGTTATAATTGATCCCATAAGTTACTTTTATACTTAGATCATAAAAGTGGATTTGATCTTGATCCTTGATGCCATAGATCAATGGCACATGAGAGGTTTTTATCCAAGCCACTCATCCATATCTTATCATAGAGATCAATGGATGAGCTTTTGACACCCTTCACTCCTTAAAACCTAAGTTTATAGTCATTTTACTTTAAAGCCTTTAACTCCATGTATTGTTTCCCATTAAGTCCAAATTCATGTTTACACTTATGCTCATGGTTTTTGAATAATTTGTGAGAGTCAATAAAAGACAAGGACATGGACATAAAGGTGATATGGGACATCCACACATGTGGATAAAGTATTTTATGGTACCACCAATAGGATTTCAACAACACTAAAGTTTCACATGGGTCAAGCTTCTAAGGTGGTGCCATATAAGATATACCCACATGCCACAAAATCATATGTGGATAATAATATTAAATTAAATTAATTATCAAAATCTCATAACTTCGCAGATGTCAAATAAACCACATGTGTGAACAAAACACCGTGTGACAAAATAACTCACTTAAGTCACAACATTATAAAACATAATGTTTTAAATAAACATAATATAACTAAATAACAAAAGACATCAATGGCCCCCACGCATGGACATCACGTCATCATGATGTTAGCACCCAAGGGGGTGTGGGGGTGCCACGTGGCATCCTTATGGCCACTTGGGACCCACGTGGCATCCCCATGGTTCTTCCTCGATTGTCATTTTGGCCAAACAATTGTAGGTGTTTTTAAATTTTTGAAAACTTCTCAAAAAACTCAAAAATTCTCCAAATGATTTTTCAATATTATTACATATTTTCTCATCAATATAGAATCTTTTCTTATCAATTTTAGATTAATTTGGACCTAAGGTAAATGAGATTTCTGGACTTATAACATTAGTCGGAGTCTTCCATTAGGTAACCCTAATGACGTTCCATTGGTGTCTCAAGTCGACCCAACGGACTTATGCTCCACAGTCTGTGGTAGAGACACATAATTGGTCACATCAAAGTCGCTGAGCCAGAGCTTCCCGTCACCGGGGGTTCAGTGGTTTACTGGTACATCCCGGTGGGACATATTCCTACTCAAATACAGTGATCCTATCAAAGCACATGTGCACTAGCTCTTCTAAGTCGGATAATACTACAGAAGAGTGGCTTCCCCATACGACTATAGGTGCACA